TCTAACCTTTATTAAATTTCATATAGAATATATAATTTATTTTCGGAGTCGTCTCTGGATTTTTTTTTTACAAAATGGGATCGAACTAAGAACGAATTTGTAACTCTGAATAAATATTTTTCAACCGAAAATAAGGGAATTATAATTACATTCCTCCTACAAATTATTCGGTAATGGAAGGTATTATAAAATGGTACCAAGCATAAACATTTTCTACAGAAAAACTAGAAAAATAAATTCTATATTTTAATATCTTGGTATTGCGGACTAGGACACAAGAGAAAATCTTTTCACAAAGGTCACATCTTTTGAAAATTTGTGTTCTTTAAGATCTTTAAGTTCTTTAGATCTCTACATCCTTCGTAAAGGTTATATTCGGCTTTTATACCTTTAATACGGCAATACTTTACTAACAGTTGGAGCAGAACGAGATGATATGGGGATAGAAACATTCGTAGTTAGGATGATTTGACGTAAAAATCTGCGATTCACATTTGGGTATATATTCAAATGTATTTCTTTAAAAACATCCTAGGGGACATGTTTTTTTACAGAAGATAATAAAATTATGATATGAAATGAAATCTATAGAAAAAATAGAGGAAAATCAAGCAATAATTATTACAACAACTACTGAAACAAATTAACATGAAATATTTAAAAATAAATATGTATATTTCATTAAATTACTTCGAAGCCAGACTTTTTCGATAACATGAAAGAAATCTAGGCTTATTGTTAAGATAAAGATCGAGAAATTTCTCTACAAGCCTCACATTCTTCTTTCAAATAGTCTGACTTCAAAATTGTATAAAACATGAAATGTATTTTATAAATATATTATTGTTCTTTGTTGAAGTTTTTTTTTCTTTTATTATTTCACAGCAATTTCATGGTAATTTCAACAATATTTAATTATTTATTTTACTTTGTTTTGTAGCAAAAGAACAAATTTTTTTCTTGGCCAAATTAACGTAAATTACTTTCCTAATATTGGAATTATATTGGTTTTCATGTTGTTTAGTTTTGTTTCGGGTTTCTTTCATACATTTGAACTTTACTGTTTCAATGTTTGATTTTTCACAACTATGTTAATTATTATTATTATTTTAATTTGTTTTTAACTACTGCTTCTTAAACATTAACTATATCTAGACAAATAAACTCTAGTTAAACTAGCAATGCAATAACTTACAATTAAACACTTATAAAACAATCAAAAAAAAAAAAAAGATTATGTATATATATTGTGTGTAAAAATATTGAAGAGAAAAATGAAGAAGAAAAAATAATCAAATTGGATTCACAATAAAACACAACAAAACATTAATAAAAATAATGACAAAAAAATTTGATATTTGTGTGGCATGTTTCGTTAAAATTAATTCAAAACGAGTGAGATAGACCAAAACTATGTTAATGTAGAAGAAAAACGTTTTGATTAATTGAAAATAAGTTTAAATGAAATATTTTCCAAAAACCATTAGCATAGACTAAATAACAAGCATACTTTTCTCAATTGGAAAAATGCTACATCCTCAGATAAAAACATTAACCAATTTCTTGTCATTTTTCCCAATTCCTGTTTTAAATTTTAAATCACTTCACTTTTAACTTTGTTTGTACATTTCTTAGTCTATGTGTTATTTAGTCTATACCATAGGTTTGATAGTAACTCACTCAATTTTCTTTTTAATATTAATGAAACAAACTTAAAATATTTGTCTTTGTGTTTTTTTTAATATTTCATTTAATAACACTGTGCAACAAAAAGAAGATAGGTTTGATAGTAACTCACTCAATTTTCTTTTTAATATTAATGAAACAAACTTAAAATTTTTGTCTTTGTGTTTTTTTTTAATATTTCATAACACTGTGCAACAAAAAGAAGATATTTATATTTTTCGCACTGTTTCACAAAACTAAAACAGTGTTCCTAGAATTCGTTGACGGCAAAATTCGGACAAGCAAAGGGGCTCTTTTATACTAGAAAATAAAAACACATCATCTCTTGAGGAATATCGAGATTAAATATATTTTAATCATAGACATACTTAATATCAATAACAATTCGACTGCATAGTGTATGGGGGACATTTATCAATACATAATATTTAATGTTAATTACTACAACTGATATAATTCGAATAGATATTTGAACTCTGACCAAAGACTATTATTTTGGGTAATTTATAATGGGCATTATATTATTAGACAATAAATTAAGGAATGACTACAGATGGGAAATTATTTAATTTAAAGGAGTTTCCCTCGGCGTTGTCTTAACAACCCATATTCGAATATTGCAAATAGAAACAAAAAGAATATCTTTTAATTCTATTTGATTATATCTCATGATTCATAATTAAGTATTAAGAAACGACAATTATTTTATTTTGTAAATATAGGGTGGGGTGGATCTATATTTTAACTAACATTTCATCTCATGATGATATCCACTTTTTAATTGCCCATAGCAACAATTGTCTCGTCACTGAATGATATATGTGAATGACATATCTGAAACTTAAAGCAATTATATATACAGCACAACAAAAAACTCGAAGCATTTCGGGTGTATAAAGTATGAGCGAAAATCTTCTCAGAATATTTCATAACAGATTTTCAACAGAATTCTTCATTGTTGGGCCCGTGTTCTGGTAGTATTATAAAATATTACAAATCATAAGTATCAAATATGGAATAATAAATCCACATGTTTTCAAATAACATCTTACAACAACAACAAATTTCGAGCAATACTTTTGTAATGTCTCACATTAGACATTACAAAAGTCTTCAAATATATTTTATAGCTGTCGTATAGTTATGAGACCTACCAAAAAACTTCCGGATAACCTCGATTTTCTTTTAATTTTGGTAGTGGATTGAAACATTTGTTAGGGATATATCTCAGACGCCTATTTCTCTATATGAGTTTTTAAAAAAATCTTAATCAAATGAATGAATCGTTACAAAAAATAATTTTTTTGAAATAACAAAATAAAGTTATCAAATATAACCATGAATATCGATATGCTATATGCCTTATAAATTGTTTTGTGTCATATTTCGGTGACTGGTTTTTTACTTGCCCCACTGGTATATTGATAAGATACAAATTTCGGTCGACCATTATCCATTGAGGGTATATTTCGCGTTATTTCTTCATATGCAATTTTGGTCGATATTATGTCTTTAAAAAGCTCTCTTATTACTGAATCATATGGAACAATTTTACGAGGGTTACAAATACTCAGAATGACCAATATTGGCTGATTATGAATTTAAAATGACGATTTAATGTACCAAATATGTTTACAACCCTCTCGAATATATTTAAAATATTCATCAGGTTTAACAAGTGGTCTACAATCCCTTCCAAAACAGTACGATTTATGTGACTAATAATACATTTTTTACTTGATATGAAGATTTAGATTATTGAATTTCAAATATTTTACATTTAAAACTAGACTTTTTAATGTAATTATTCCAAGAAAGTATTCAATATATTTACGAAGGTTTAGAAATAACCAATGTAATTTGTAAAAGTAAGCTATAAATAAAACATAAAACAAAGACCATAGCACGGTCCAATACAGGTGGGTACAATCTACCTGACTCTTTAATTGTAAAGTACGTATTTATTCTTTTCCAAGCTACAAAATGCGCCATGTGGCTCAAAACTAATTTTCTAAATGATATTTTATTGGAATTCTTATTTAAAAGGGATTTGCCACAACATAAAATTGTGCCAGGAAGGAAAGAAAAATCATAGCTATTTGTCCATGAGTTTATATTTAAATGTCACAAATGTTCGATTTTTAAATAAATTATTTATTTAAAGTAATATAATTATAAAAATGGAGAAGATCATTCTCGGTTGTTGTAGCAGCCCTATTGCTTTTACACAATGGGCTGAGGTGACAGACTTGGCCAAGTAAGACTCGGGTCGTTTCGGATTATAGACCCCCTTGCCTTGTTCTATTTTCTTAATTGTTTTCAAAATTATTTTTATTCTGCTTGTTGCACAGTGTTATCGTTATTTCATTGCTATTTTTAATAGAATCACAAAAAAAGTTGAAAAAATAAAAATCTATTATTTATAGGATGAAATTTATATGTATGATTTTCTTTTATCATTCTTTTTGTTGTTGTATATAATAGTTTTTTGTTTGTGGTTTTTCTTCGTTTCTTTTTCGAACTTACAGTCTGAGATTTAAATATATTTGTTTAATTTTTTTTTTAGTTTTTGCTTTTTTGTTAATTATATTATTATTAATTAATAAACTACCTACTTACATAGATACATACATACACATTCATTGAATTACACGTCAGTCATCCATCATCTTCATCATCATTACTATTATTGTTGTGGTTGTGATTATTTTATTTATAAATTTTTAATTTTTGTATCACCTGATTTGCAAAATATGAGATGTTATATTTTTCGCATTAATAATTTTGTGAGTGAGTGTGTTTGTTTGTGTATTTGAAAGGTGGAAGAGATGCTGGTTGGCCGTTTTAAACTCTGTGTGGCTGGGTGTGTTTCTTAAAAATATTAACATTAGAACTGCATTCATTTGCATACATACATCAATTCATCGTTCATTTCATAGCTAAAACACCCACACCACCACAATACCCAACCATATAGCTAATGTTGTTGCATGCAGTTCTGTCCTCGATTTTTGTTGGTGTTGTAGTAACGTCTTCCATTGCACACATGCCTTTACACATTTGTGGCTTTCTTCCTTCCTCCGCCCTGACTAAGTTCGAGTTCGTTTCCAACTCTTGGTGTAGTTGATGTACTTTGTTTGCTTTCATGCTCTGGATGGCTGGCTTATGCATTATCTCTCACAGTTTTTCAGTTTTGTTGTTGCTGTTCTCCTTCTAACATCATATTGCTGTTGCTTTAATATCTCATTACTGTCATTTTCCATTTTCTTTGTTGTGTTCCTGCTAAAGTCTGCTGTTGTCCTCGTAATTTCACATTTATTTTGGTGTATTATGACCACCGGATGCATTATTTCCGCCCGATGATGAATTACCACCACCGCTATTGTTGCTGTTGTTGTTCTGTTGGGGTATTGTATCACAGCGTCGATAGTAAAGCAAATAAGGCACACGTGGTGTCCTTGGCAAAAGAACATGATTTTCACTGACCGACTTGACAGAGCTGTCATCGTAACGCAACCAACTACCATAGCCGGTGTGATAAACATCCGTAATGTAATGACCCTTGGAAGCTTCTTTGCCATCGTGATAGACGACAGCAAACAGACGATAAGCTCGTTGTTTTTGTGAGTACTTCTTGGATGCCAAGATTTCTGTAAGTGACAAAAGAAACAAAAAGGAATTATAAATTGAGGAAAAGAGTAAAGAGAACGTTTATTGACACTGAGTAGATTTTCAAACAGGTGGGAACATTACATCCTAATCTTGGGTTTTCTTATATGGAATCTACGGAAAAGATGGGATCAAATAACAAATGACCACCGTGTGTACTAAAAATTGTGGGCAGTTTATATGTTTATATGGATATTTCCTGACATTCCTTCATGGGAAAATGTTGTCCCTCTACCGTAGATTTATGGTGTACATTTTAGGTCTGGTTACACAGTTGACCACGTACCAATCGGGTTTGCACACATATAACCTGGATGTGCACCCCAATGAGTTTTTCAGGATTAGCTGCTGAGGCTTTGTCATGGATAATAATTACCAAACACCCTTGATTTTTTATTTGAAAGCAACTTTGAAAACCAATTGAAACTAAAACTAGTTAAAAACTATTATTCTAATTTCGCATCAAGCTAATGCGTTTCAGATATCACTATGAAAATGTCTAAACGTAAGCAAAATACTTTTGCACCTGATTTTTTTTTTACTTTCTGTAAGAACATTCCATTGGAAATTATAAAAATCAGTAAATTAGATGTGTATATTCATTTTCCATAATCATTACTTACTGGCATCAATTTTCAAATCGACAGGAAATTCGACCTTCTTCAATATCTTTGTGCAACCATCTGAACGATAATCGAACCATTTCAAATGTAAAATTAAAATTGGTGGTAATTTTTCAACATTCATTTGCTGCCAGGCCAGAACTTCTTGTTTGCTTTTACTTCCGGTAACACCTTCCAATTGATCGCGGCCAACTAAAATTTCTAAGGCTTCTTTGACCGAGGCAGCTTTCTGTAAATAGTAAAAAAGAAAAACATTGATATTAAATTTAAAAAGAACAGGAATTTAAAGAGAATTTTTTAAATGCACAATTTAATACAAAAAAAAATTGTACCGCAGACTACAGAAAAAAATGACCCCCAAATAGGACTGGAAAATATCTAAAATCATGTGGTACCATTATATTTTTAACTTAAGTTTAATTAATTCGTTAAAGCAATAACGCCAAATAAATTATATGGGAGCTACGTGGACTTATGTTGTGTTTTGTAATCTTTATGATCAAAATACTATTCTGAAGCTGGAATCTTGAAATTTGGGGTGAGGGTCTTAATCCGAAAGTGTCAGATAAGAGGTTCGTTCATTTACTCAATAATTTGTACAAATTATTACAAAATTTTGTTCGTTTACAAAAAAGTCCAGTAAAAGAGAGTGAATTGGAGAGCAGCTTTGAGAGTTGTGTTTCTGAGTAATTGCAAAATCTTACAGGGAAAATTTAATCAGTAAGAATTTTTTTTGTACCATCAGCTTATATTTAATCAGCTGTTTTGTTATGTTTAGTAAAAAAAAACAACGAAATGGTTTGCAAGCAAATTGATTGTTTTGTGAATTTTATATTGATTTTCTGTCATTAAACGTTAAAATGAAGAAAACGCAAGAATTAATAGAAATTCTACTTTTTTGTTTGCGCCAAATTGTTCGTTTTTCAGCTACAAACTTTTTACTGGATGTTGTTCGTTTCCTGAGAACGAAAATTTCGTATTTACTCTCTGCAAATTCTTACTGAGTAAATGTTACTGGGAAAGTGAACGAACGAACTTAAGGCTTTTCGAAATTCGTACTAGAACGGTGCGAAAAATACATTTGTATTTGTCGAACTGGTAGAGCTAGAACTCTTAAATTTAAACTGAGAGCCACTGAGTATAGGAAAGTGTACGTAAGTGTAAGAGTTTTTTGTTTTTTTATTTTATTTTATTTTTTATTTAATTTATTTTTTTATTTCTATTTCTTTTTTTTAAATTCGAAGTATATATATCCGAAAAGTACTAAAATGTACTAAATTTGGTACAATTTGGTAGCATGTGAGCGGATAGAGCTAAAAACTCGAAATTCGGAATGCGAATCAAGATTTTTGGAAATGTGTACTCATGTATACGAAAAGTACTAAACAATACCAAATTTGGCACATTCTTAATTTGGAGAAACGGCTGGAGCTGGAATCCTGAAATTTGATTATGTGTACGAAAAAGTATTAAATGGTACTAATTTTGGTACAATTTGGATTTAGGGTAAACCGATAGATTTGCAACCCGATAGATAGAATCCTGAAAATTGATTATGTGTACGAACAAGTATTAAATGGTACTAAATTTGGTACAATTTGGATTTAGGGTAAACCGATAGATTTGCAAGATTAATGTTTGAGTGAAGAATTGAGGTATGTAGGTAGTTTTGCAATCTTGTACTTATGTTTACTAAATAATACTAAAATTGGTACAACTTGAATTTAGGGTAAACCGACAAGACTGGAATCCTGAAAATTATGTGTGCTAAATGGTACTAAACTTGATTCAATATTGATTTAAGTGATCCAAAAGAGCTGGAATCCTAAAATTTGGAATTAAAATTACTGTTGGAGTTAAGGATTGGGGTATGTGAGATTTTTGGAAATTCGTACTTTTGTGTACTAAATAGTACCAAATTTGGGTGAACCGATCGGAATGGAATCCTGGGAAATATGATTTTTATTGGATTGTTAAGTTGTGTACTTATGGAAATGTATATTAATGTGTACTAAAGCGTACTAAATTTGGTAAAATTTATATTCGGGCGAACCAAGAGACCTCGAAACATGAAACATGCAATTAGTTTTGGAAACAAGTAGAGTAGACTGGGGAACATTCGGCACTTTTTAGAGCTTTATATCTCGGTATTTATTCAACAGAAATAAAAACTTTATGGCTGGTCTGAGGACAATGAATACTTAATTATAAAAACTAGTACGAAAAACATATGATAAATTAGTATTAGTTAAAATTTTTTACAATTGTATAAAAAAGTCAAATTCAACGAATGTGCCCCAACCCGGGGTAGCTTCGACATTTGATGGCGCACATGCACCCATAGGCAAAGCTTGGTAATTATCATTGTTATCAGACTGGTCGGAGTTCAGATCCTCTAAAGGTTTTTTATTATGCGATTCAATGTTTGGCTTTTAAGCCTATATTTTCTAGCGGTAGTCGTTAACGTCTCAAGGCTACACATACTATCAGAAATAGTTTTTTTTATCGCATTTTCGTCAATAGAAGTACATTCGGTATTATATATGTAATTTCGAACCATATTAAAGGATTATTTTTATAGACAAACCCAGAAACATTTTAAAGAAATAATGTAACAATGTCTGTATATGACCGAATGTAACCCACTTTAAAAATGCCGAATCTAAACCAAAGGTATGTTCTATAGTTTTTTGTTTTTCATTTGTTTTTTCTATAAATCTTCTAAAAACATATTTTTAATTATTTTTATAAGAACATTATTTGTAATTAACGACTTTTTAATAATAATGCCTTAAAATTTGCAAAGTTTTTATACACGAAATTCTTACGAAATGGAATGAAAATATTACAAAAACATCTGTAAAAATAAAAGAAAAAGTGCATCCAAATAAGCTTATTATCTAGAGGTTTCCAACTTTGCGAGAGTTATTTATTTTAATATCCGATACCTATGGATCAAGACTAGTAATGCACAATGAGAGCTTCATATAGAAAACGCCATTGCCGAATGTGCCCCGATGCCTCGAATTAATAAAAATCGAGTGTCGATTGGGGGGAAAATTTGGAAAAAAAATAGAAAATATCACTGTGCTTCAAAAAACGATTACAATATCGTTCCAGGTTACGAAGCCTGAAGCTAAAACTGTAATTATCATATTTGAATGGGATAGTATGTGTAATCACGAAAATTTGCTTAGGTCTGGAATTTAGCTTTGGATAGCGTCCCGTAGCACTTGTGTATGATGATATCACATGTATGAATGTATTGTTGTAGTTTCAAATTAACATACCTCAATATTCAAAGGCAACGTAAGGAAAGGCTGGATAACATCAGTTGGATGTTCACCTTCACGTTGTAGACGTGATCTAAGTTCACCACGGAATATATCACTCAATGGTGTACAGCCAAAATCGGTTTGACGTGTTACACTGCCCTTGTTGCGATTATTGCATATCATCTGTAAAATAAATAATAAAAAAATGATTTAATTTCCATCTAAAAAATATATTTTCTTTACTTACCTGCCAAACGTCACCGTCTTCACCTTCCGATTGATCATTTTGTCCATTTTGTTCGGCATTTGGTTTGGCAATTAGTTTTACAACCTGTATAGAAAGGAAAATCATGTTAAGTATGGGAAAATATCAATTCAAATTCGAATGAATACTTTACCTCTAACATTTCATCATTGAGTTTATTCAAAATATAACTGAGAAATTCTTCAGCATCTTCTTGCCGTCCTTCGACATGTTCTTCGCGACTGTCATTCCATAACTTGTAGATTTCGGTTGGTTCGAAGGCAGGATCACATTGTAGTTCTTGTGCTAAATCATCTTTGTTGTTGCCTTTACCACCCTTGGCGGTACGTAGGCGAAGGCCACTTGGCAAATTGGAGAAATTCGACATGAATGACATCCTAAAAGAAAGTAAATATAAAATGTTTATATTTTATAAATACGAAGAGTTATGAGAGAATCTTTCAATTTTCAATTATAGGTCGAATTACTTTATCAAATTTACAAAACAATTATGAAATTTACACAAAATCTGTGATACTTTGTGGACAATTAGTATATATACTTCATGTTATTATTGGATTGAATGTGTTATAACCTAAGTCTGTCCACATGATATTGTCCATTTCAATAGCCTCGGAACACATCATCAAACCTTTAGAAACATTCCAAAATTTGGCTATAGAAAATGCAAAATCAATAGTTTCTCCCATAAATCCCCTAAAGAGTCTACCAAAACGGTAGTACCCTCGAAGATGGGCGAAAATATTTCTTCATTTTTACTCTGCCACAAATGTAACGCAAACAAAAAGTGGATGAAAATCTTTAGGTTGCTGACTTAATTGTGGCCTCTGGAAACATCATGATCCCTCTCAACATGACTTGTGTACTTACATGGCATTAACAGTTGGCGTCTTCACTTCACACAAATTAGCCGCCTGTTTCGGTATGGATCGCATCAAATTGTATAGCGGCGAACAGCCAAGCAATGCTTGCAATATCGAATTAATGTAGCAATAATTCGAACGATTTGTAAGGCCTCTGGGTCTCAGACTGATTGTGGTCCAATCACTTTTATATTTGGTTAGGAACTCGGCAAATTTCAATGAATATTCATCGAGATTGGCCAAATTTGTGATCTTCCGGGATCCGCCAGCTGCACCAGCAGCCATGGCAGATGAATTGCTGTTGTTATTGTTGTTGGTGGTCGAGGACGGTGGTGTTGGTAAATTTTGAGCTGAAGCAGCTGAATATGACAAGGCACCTGGAGTTACGACCGGTGTGGCCGTAGAAGCTACACTCTCAAAGGGAGCAACTTTTGCAATGGGTTTCTGTGCATAATTGGCAGTGGTGTTGGTGGATGCTGAACTGGTGGTGTTGCTGAGTGTGTTGTTGTTGGGTGTAGAGTTTTGATTTGCTGCAGCTGTGGATGGACTGGCCGAGGCAGCCGGAGAGGCACTTGCTGTAAAAAGACTAGCCCATGATGGTGTTGAGGGTGCAGCCTGGGCAGATGATGATGCCGGTGGTGCCAAATTTATGGGTGGTGTACTGGTGTCATTTGTTGTGGCTGAGGGGGTAGTATTGGTGCCAGTCGTTGTGTTGGGGCTGGCGGCAGCTACTTGTTGCTGTTGCTGCTGCACAAGACTTTGTTTCCTTTGTTGTTTGCTGGCAGCCGCATTGCCACCCTCATTTGTTGCCGATGATTGTTGAAATTGATGTGGCGTTGCTGTTGTCGAAGCGGTGGCCTGATGTGGCTTATTGCCGCCGGCATGATCACTGGACTGGCTATGTTTACGTTCTGTGTTGGAGGAATTTGTTGCTCCCGGGCCCGTGGCCACAGGAGAAGAAGGCATTTTCATGGCTCCATAATTACGGGTCTGAGTGGTTTGTTGTTGTTGCTGATAACTATGATGCTGTTGATTGGTATAGGTTCGGGTGCCATGACTATGGGTAGAGGTAGACGACGAATTGATCGAGGAGTTTGATTGTTTGTTGTATCCTGGATTGTGAGACGTTGAGGGTGTTGCTGTGACAGCCACAGTGTTGGTGGATTTCTTGTGTTGTGAAGAATTGGTCCAGGACATGGTTTTCGTTGTTGGTTGTTGCTGCTGCTGATGTTGCTGCTGATCATTGTGATGATCGTATTTGTTGCGTCTTGATTGTTGTTGTTGCTGTTGATTGCCGCCATACGACGACTGTGAGGATTTGCGATTATCATAGTTATGATAATGTGATTGTTGTTGTTGTGAATGATGATGTTGCTGCTGCTGCTGGTGGTGCTGATTTGACTGTGATTGTGTCTGCTGTTGAGGTTGTTGGGTTTGTAATTGTTGATGTTGATATTGTTGTTGGTGTTGTTGTTTATAATTTTGTGTTTGTTGTTGAGGTTGCACTTGTTGCTGAGGAACACTTTGAGTTTGCGTGGCGGCCACAAAGGTTTGTGACATCTGTTGCTGTTGAACGATATTCTGTTGCATGGTATTGGTTTCAATTGCCACATCGACATTGGTTACTGTTGTTGTTGTGGTGTTTGTTATAATATGTGTCTGTTTTGTCACATTATCCTGCAATTCATGGACATCGGTCATAAGATTTTTATTATTGTTTCCAGTACTGTTGTAATTGTCCATTTGTATGGGAGCTGTGGAGGTTTCAGCTGTTTGTATTGGTTGTTGTTGATAATCTTGTCCAACATTTTCAATAAGTTGTTGTTGTGAATTCTCTTCGTTGAGATTTGTAATAGATTCACATGGTTGCATAGTGTTGTTGTTGCCTGTGCTATATTCACTGGCCTGCATTCCAGTGCTATCAACGTGGACATTGTTGTCTGGAAAAAAATGGAATAGATTTTATAATTTTAATTAGAACATATATTTTTATATATTTAATCAGAAAACAAAAAATAGTATGAAATAATTATACTCCGAGTACCCGAATTTTCAATTTGTTATCAAATTGGTTTAACAAAATTTCACAACAATTATTAAAATTAATTTAATAATTAAGTCTGCGAAACGATATTGTCCATTTCAATAGCCTCGGAATACATCATTCAAACTTTAGAAACATTCAAATTTGGCTATAGAAAATGGAAAATCAAAATTTCTCCCATAAATCCCCTGAAGAGTCTACCAAAACGGTAGTAACCTCCAAGATGGGCGAAAATATTTCTTCATTTTTTACTCTGCCACAAATGTACTGTCTATGGGTCTTGAGGAGAATTACTGAGTATATGGATATCACCCATACAATATTGGTGCCCCTGAATAACTTCCAATACTTAATAAAGTGAACTCCTCTACCCTGGAGTGTTAGGTGGTCTCACTTTTGTCTGTGTTTTACTGTTCCAAGTCTCCTGTCCTCAGGGTTGATCCTCCTCAAATCTGTAAAGTTACGCGGCATCGTGCCTGTCAAGTTTAATGGTTTGCAGTTAGGATACCGACTGCATTTAAACGGAAAAGGTACACCTACAAAGGTTGCTCAAGTCATCCACCCTCGGGACGAAGGCTGAGAGTAGCCCAGATACAATGGGAAATATAGATCAAGAGACTTCCAACCAATCAAAAATTTGGACCGAAGATAACAGATGTTTGACATCATGAACCAGGGCGAAGAAAGGAAAGGGGCGAGTTTAGAATGTCTAGGCGGAGGACCTATTGAGAAGACTTTCTGAAAGACAATCTTCCTCCGCGAAAAAAAAAACTCACCAACTGTTTAACAATTAAACCCCAGAACTAGGTTTATGACTTGAAATATTAGTCATCATTATAGGGAAATGCAAAATGTTAACTATTCTATCAATAGCCCCACTATCACCAGGAAACAAAACATAAATACATCTATGATTCTACACAGCATTGCGGGTGCAGAATTTTATTCATAATTGATATCGAATATTATTCTTAATGAGATGAAATAATAAACTGAAGTGACTAATGTTCTAATTTTCCAATCATTGCCGGCTCAATGAGGAGACCGCTGACGTTCTATTAACAATAATTAAAGAATTTCAACGCGTATATAAACTAATTCCTCGTCTTGGTCTTTTATTTGTTTTACAATTTCGAATTTCTTATCAAACGGCCGGCTACCGAACACATGCGAATGATTGGTGATGTGTCACCCGCTCAAGGCATTTTCAATTGTTTACATTTTATGTGTGTGTGTGTGACAGTATTTGTTGTAGTTTATTGACATTTTTGTTTTCAAAATTAGTTTATTAGGTCAAATGTAGAACAAAGGAAACGCCAAACAAGAAAAATAGATAAATACTTAAATGCATTTTAAAGAAGATAATTTTCAAAATTAGTTTCAAGCAAGGGTACAAAGTTCAATTTATGTATGGGGATAACCTAAAATGACAAAAAATATAACATTAAGTACAAATAAGGAGAAATTAGATTGAGACAATAGATTGAGAGCATCTTAAAAATAATTGACATTAATTTTAAACCATCCCACCAAATAATATTGGATTAAAGCATAACGATTTATGTTTTCACTACCCCAACAACTCATAATATGGCACAAAAAACTCTTATAAAATCTACGATTACCGTACAAGCATGATTACATAAAATCTACGATTATGGTTCCTTAAATAATGCACAATTTTGCATTAATTTATTTCTACTATTGGGAGAATAGAGATTCAACAAATCATCGCCATAATCGGCAGATAATGGAGCTGCCATCTATAGATGTCCTGACATTCCGATTTTTTTGTATTCTCATATATTGATATTTTTCCGAGGTTCGTTATTTGATTTATGGGTGATTTTGAATAAGAGTGGAATAAAAGTGAATGACAATGAAGTGGATGGTGTAGATGTTGATCGACTGAATTTTGATTTTGTGTCTAATCAATCTGTTGATGATCCAGTTGATGTTTCGTGTGTTCCTGAGGGTGCTTATGATGGATTTTCGTTTCGTAATGTTGATTTTGTTCAAATTGTAGATTCGTTTAGTAAAATTAAGTCTAAAGCTGTAGGGTATGATGGTTTTCAGCTTCATTTTCCGAAACTTGTGTTTCCTTTAGTGGGACGTCATTTGTTGCATCTTGTAAATACCATGATAACAGTGTCAGTTTTTCCTGAGGTTTGGAAGATAGCGGAAATTGTGCCAATACGTAAAAGTAATGATGTAAGAGACTATAGGCCGATATCGATAATGTCAATACTCTCTAAAATGGTTGAGAATGTTTTGAAAGGGCAAATTATTGCGTATGTTAACCAGCGATCATTATTCCATGATAGTCAATATGGGTTTAGGCATCATCGGAGTACCACGTCCCTACTTGCTAGTTTAACTGACAATATAAGAAAGTCCGTTGGTGGGGATGGTTGTTGTGTGTTGCTGTCGCTGGACCTTGAAACGGCATTTAACAGAATCAATAACTCAATGCTATTAAGTAAGCTGCATCAATTTTTTTTTTTTTTACTTTTTCAACCTCAGCGTGTATACTGATATTTTCATATTTATTTGGTAGAAAGCAGCAATACGTAAGTTGTAAAAATTGTGTTTCGAGTATGTTGTCTGTGAGTAGTGGTGTGCCTCAAGGATCTGTTCTGGGCCCCCTGTTGTTCGAAATGTATGTTAATGATTTGTTCAGTTGTATTAATAGTAGGAATTGTGTGTCGTTTGCTTTTGCTAATGATATACAAATACTGTTTAAAGGAGAAAATGTGTTCATGGATGTTTTGCAGTCTTCAATTGATTTTTTAATGTTGATGTGCTAGTCACGTGGTTAACGAATAATGGGTTTTCAATAAATACTCAAAAAAACTAAAACTATGATTTTTGGCAAAAACCAAGTTAATGCTATAAATGTTTCCATCTATAGTGTCTCTATAGATATTGTAAGCTCCATTAAGTGTCTTGGTTTGTTGCTTTATAATGGTTTGGTGTTTGATGATCATGTCAATTCTTTAGTGTCCAAAGTTAATTTTATTTTAAGAAAGTTATATTGTTTGGATGTTGCTCTCCCTAGGGATAATGTCACACTTTTTGTATTGTATTGAAATTGTTAGTGGTAGTTGTGGCTACTACTTGTCCTGATATTGTTTTTGCATAGCTGATTTACTTAATTATTTTACTTAATTATTTTTTTTACATCCTACTGTGATTTAATGTTAAAATTTAAATTAATTATTTATTCATGTTTTTCTTTAAGTTTATGTTAAGATAATTCTATTGTTGGGTTTCAGATTTTGGAGTAGTAGATGTATAGTGGTTTTTGGAACCGATCATGGCCTTGTAGCTAGGTTCCCATCTATGAAAAAATAAATAAATTGAAATTGAATGCCAGGGGACTTCGAATATATTTTATGTAAATTAAGCCTTTTCCCAAAACTGAAGACAGCGATGAAAGGAAAGCGATTTTCTATTATTGAGGGCATAAAAGAAAAATCGCAACGGAAGCTGTTGGTTGGCGATACGAAAAGTGTTTGGATGATTGAAAAAAATTGTATCATTTCTTAGGTGATTACTTTATAGAGGACAAGATTTTTTTTTTTTTTTTTTTTTTTTTTGATGTGGGATATATATATATATATATATATATTGGGTAATTTTTTGATCAGACCTTAAGAGTTATTTTTTAATCCTCAGAGTAATTGGAGTAAAGATATATAAGCCTATTTATAAAAAATAATAAAACTCGCAATATTTAAAATAGATCGGTTTTGCTAAGACATTTCATAACTCCTAGCGTGTTTATTGTCGCTCTTTTTTAGAATTTTGAAGGTTTTAACCGAACAAAGGTACCTAACCTATTGTATTTTCCAAATATGATAACTGACCTTTCCAATCACAACAACCCTGGTTCTTAGGTTTGATTCCAAATACTTTTAGATGTTTAAATATGGTCAGTTCAGTTGAAAAATTAGGCTAGGATCAAGAAAATATCTATAACGGCCTGAAGCTATAACCACAAAACGGCCAATATTTATAATTTTAAGCAATGGGAACAACTAGAACTCAGAATAACAAATTACGGTCACTTCGTATTGCCACAATATGGTCACACTTTGGTTGAAAAATGAGGTTAGGACCAATACCAATGGAGCTTTATATGGGATCTATAACTAAAGATCGGCCAGTATTTATAATTTTAGGTAATGGTAACAATGAGATCTCAAAAT